GATGGTACTATATATAGCCCTCGGCCTGTCTATAGAGGTGTTTGTGACCGTGCTCCTCACTGAGGAGAAGAGACAGGAAGGAAACACAGTTCCATTGCAAACGTGAGTATGGAAACATGGATGTGAGTGGTCTTTAAAACAAGTCATCTCTAGGGTATGATGTCACTTACACAGAAGCAGCAAATACACAGAAACCAAACATCATCAGGAGGGCAGAGGGGAGGTCTGCTGAGGGAGCACAGAGTTGATGTGGATGGTGGTGGGACTATTTGGTAAAAGACTGGGAGCATGGCCTCAGCACATGACAAATGTCATCAGTGTGACTGACGCACGTGAGGGTGCTGAGCTGGCGTGCATTTTCCTGTGTATTCACCACACACACATAATGTTCTTTCACTTTATGGAGGTACTGAGTTTATTTCACACGTATAGTTTTGTCTCCCCACCACTTCTATCTGCCCACAGCTATGACCATCTCCACTCATTCTAAAGCCAAGCACAGGGTGGAGTTTAGTCATTATCTTTGTTTTAAACCTGCCAACCCTTGTCTTAGAGTATGAGCTTGTGTGACCAAGAAAGGCATCCCACTTTGCTCTGAGTAAAATCAGGGAGGCAGTTAAAGAAAAAACAAGTCATGTCTCGAACAGCCCACGAGAAAGGCTGGAGAAGTCTCAATGCCCGAGGAAGGCTTCTGTGCACAGCCTGTCCTGGGAACACAGCCCTCAGCACACTAGGATGCTGAAGGCTTGAGTTCAGCCCAGGGCTCCCGACAGATGCACAGCAATCCTCCTTTTTCTCCTGTCAAAATATTGACCTGCGGTTTAACCATCTGAGAGCTCAAAAAGCCCCATCACAGTTTCTCCTGCTTTCAATTTAAGTCTATTTTTATTTTGCACAGACAGGGAGTACCTTGTTCAGCAAGCCCTGATCTTTGAAATCCCATCGTAACAGTAAAGACATGAAACAAAACAAACGGACTTTAAGCACTTCTTTTTAAACAAGCCTGACCCCCTCATCATTCTCCATGGTTTCTGTCTCCTGCTCCCTCTTCCTAAACCTCTCCAGTCTCTCTATCTTTTGATTTTGTTTTAAGAATTTACTTGACGTTTGCTATTGACAATATACACCATAGAGCAGACACCAGTTCAGGAGAAAGACACCATCTTTCTCATGGCAAAAGAGGCAGGTGTTCACGGAGTCACTGAGCCACACGTTCCATATCCTCCCCCTATTCCTGACTCTCCTTCTGTTGCTCAAGGTGAACAGGGACCAGGTGTTGGCCTGGGACTCCATATCCCTTTCAAAGTATAAAGTCAGGCAAGCTAGCAAGACGCTCCAATATGGAACCGCTGTGCTACAGTAATCCATAGTAGAAAACTTATTTGACACCTCTCATATGAGAGCTCTGGTGGCATAGTGCCTAAGGCATGTGACTGCAAACCAGAAGGCTCATGATTCAAACCCACCAGCCACTCCTCAGAAAGAAGGTTAGGCAATCTACTGCCATAGACATACCGCCTCAGAAACCCAAGGAGGGGTCGCTATGAGTCAGATCCCACTCGATGGCAGTGAGTTGTAGTTTTTTTCTTACATGTGGCCTTCTCAATCACACATCATCCTTCCAGATAAAGCTCGTTTTTGTTTTTTTGGTTCTTGCCTGCCATACTACTCTATAGTAAAAAAAAAAAAAAAAAAACACGAAACTCACTGCCCAGGAATCGATTCAACTCATAGCGACCTCTCCCTGGGTTTCCAAGGCAGTATCTCTACAGAATTACATTGCCCAGTCTTCTTTCTGAGTCGTGACTGGTGGGTTTTAACCTCCAGCTTTCTGGTTAGCAGTCAAATGCCCTAGGCATTATCCAACTCAGCTAGTATCCTCCTTTAAAAACCACATCCTTAAATCTAACCAAGTCATTAAAAAAAGAAGGAGGAGGAGGAGGAGGAGAACTAGCTTCGACTTGATGTGCAAGACGGACAGGTACAAACTGAGCACAGCTACGAGCAGTGCTCTCTGCAGCATCTGCAATGCAGGGCTGGGCTCGGCTGGTCTGGACTGTGGTTTTCATGAGGCCTGTTCTCAGTGATGTCTGCTCAGGCGAACCTTGAAGCAAGGACTGAATTCTGAGCACATGGACCTCTGGGGGGCGGGGGGCCAGCTGCTCAGGAGCACCCTCCACAATAGGACACCACCAGCCTGGGGGCCAGAGTTGTATAGTTGACCACAAGTGGTCCCTGGGAGTTGGTGTGGCATTTAGGGCAGGAATGGGCAGGAAACTGGGGAAACGTGGGCCTGTGTCCAGGATTCTCTGTAAGAAGCATGTCTCGGCTGCTTCTGTCAACATCCTGAACTTCCAACGGAAACTTAAGGGCAGGCAGAGGTGGGAAATACGTAGGCCTTCTAAGAGCAGTTCCTATCAACCCTTTCTGTCCACAAAAAACCCTCCACCCAGGTGCTCTCAGGTCTAAATGGCAACATAATGGTACATCCCTAAAGTTCAATATTGCCTCTCTAACCTAGCTGCCATAGAGTCGAATCCAACTCGTGGCAACCCTATGAGTGTCAGAGTAGATCTGAATTCCACAGGGTTTTCAGTGCTTGGTTTCTTGGATGCAAGTTGTCAGGCCTTTATTCTGAGGTGCCTCTGGGTAGACTGGAACCTGAAACCTTTCAGTCAGCAGTGGAGCACACTAACCATGGGCACCACTCAGGGACTCCATTGCCCTCTCTAGGCTCCTCTTAAACTGTAAGTACTGCTGCATTAATTTAACATTGATTTGTGAGAGCAGTAGTGGGAGAGACCATTCAAAGAAAGAGCCGGGAAGAGGAGTCAGGTTATGAACCCAGACTTGAAGTTATACCCATGTTTGCTTCAGGAGCTAGTCAATCTTAGCCCAAGGAGCAAGCTGGTCTGGCATTTCCTCCTGACTCTCTGAGGGCCTGGGGTCAACAGCTTCCCACTCTAGGACTGCCTTTCCCTTTTCATCTTGGCTGATTTATACCTAAAACTGGGAACTGCTCAGTCTGCACAGAGCAGAGGCTGCAAGGAGTTCTGAGCTTCTATCGCTGGGCAGCCACAGAGCACCTGCCACCCAGGGACCAAACACCTCTGGAAAAAGAGGGGCAGTGTCCGTCTGTCTCTTTCTTCTCCCGAAGGGATGCAAAGGGACAAGCAATTCAACCCGCAGGAGGCAGTAAGAGCATCAGGAGGAACTTGTCAGCAGAAAGACGAGCTGATTATCACCTCAGTAACGCAGCTCCTCAGCTCCCTTAAGTCCTAAATGAAAAGAATAATCCACAACTTCTTATGCTGTTAGTGGACGTGAGAAGGCAGGCTGAAAGTGCCCCCAAATTCCTGTAGTCCATGACTCAACAAAAGAATGCCACCAATTATTAAAAGCAATAGAAGACATGTCCTTCCTTAACTACTGGGTGGGTACCAGCATCAGAACCACAAGCATCTCAGCTACTTGTTAATAAAAAGGATGGTTCTTGGGGTCTCTGGCCAGGGGCTCCCTGTGTCCTCCACAGAATCAGCTGAGCACACCTCCACATTTCCCTCAAGCAGCATCTCCCATCAAAGCCTGCTCCTTGGTTGTGCATGGCAGCCAGGGTGCCTGTGGGACATGTGATGGTCCGGAGAAAGCAGCAGAACATCTTTTCCCAATCCTCAGTGTCCAGCTGAGGACAATGGAACCAAGGACGATTTCTGTCTTCTCAGATTCACTGATTCATTAGACAAGAAACTTACTAGGCATGGGGAAGGCCTTTGGTTGATGATCTTCAGAAGAGCTTGGGTCCTGGAAGGGGAAGGAGATGGTAATTGGCCCATTACTAAGAAGAGTTACTTTCTTGTTCATGAAATATTAAGAATCAAGCCATGGTCTAAAGATGGGCATGGTAGTAACTATGTCGAATGATCAAGAATCTCTCCAAAAGCTTCTAGTTTCCTTTCGTAAGTATGGATGCACATAACATATTTCATCCCTTTTTGTATAAAGCTTGTTTATATCTTTAGAATGTCCCACCTCAACTTCCTTGGGTTTATGTGAAGCTGTGAGTGTTCTCTCTCTGTCTCCTCTTAGCAATTCCATTCCTGTTCTTCTGTTTGTGGTGAATAAGTCAATGTTTATTCTTTCCAGGATTTTACAGTTTTCCTGTCATCTTCTTCAAACTCTATCTTTCTAGATGAACAACTTACAACTAGGGGAGGAAAGAAGGGAAGGAAGGAAATTTATCAGAAACTCCTGGGGAGCTTTGACAAATAGTGTGTTCAGTCTCACTTTCCCTAAGCCTATCAAAGTCTTTGATTGGGAGATATTTATACTGAAAATATGCACATCTCATTCTGATGGCCAACTCCTTCTACCCTTTTGTAAACCACAGTATCGGACAGAAGAGCTTTAATCTTTCTGTCTTGTCTTCATTCATAGCTTGTTTTTTTAAAAAAATTATTGTTAGTGAAAGTTTAGAGTCCAAATTCATTTTCCATATAGAAGTCCATATACACTTTGTCTCATAACATTGACTGAAACCCCCACAATGTAACAGCTCTCTTCCCACTTTTTGCTTGTAGTTACCTCCTCCCTGTGTCCTTCTTTCCTATGCATTCCTGCCTGAGTTATCACCTTGTGCAAACACTGCCCTTCTGTTCCCCCGTGATCATTCAGGAGCATATCTACTTCATATAAATATTCACCTTATGTCTTTGTGCCTGCGTATCGTTTGGCTGGACGCCACGGGAGCATCTGCATTCATTTCTGTGATAGTTTACATTTGCCATTCTGATAGAATAAAGTCCATTCATTGTAAGACTGACAGTGGTTGGGGACAGCAAGGAAAATCTGTTGTCATAAAATTTAAACTATATTAACTAGGAAGCCCAGAGACCTGTTAGATCTTCCCTGATGCACAGCATCCTATCAACAGCTTCCTCCCCACTGGCTTCTCTCACAGCAGCTTTCCCAGGACAGATCCAAGGGACTGAAGGAAACCAGTGATGATGGCCAACAAGAGCTCCTCAGAGGGCTTCATTCTGATAGGTGTATCTGACCACCCCCAGTTGGAGATCATTTTTTTTACAGTCATCCTCATCTCTTACTTGATGACACTCATTGGGAACTCAACCATTATCCTGCTTTCCCGCCTAGATGCCCGGCTCCACACACCCATGTACTTCTTCCTCAGCAACCTCTCCACCCTGGACCTTGCCTTTACTACCAGCTCGGTCCCCCAAATGCTGGTCAACTTATGGGGTCCAGAAAAGACCATTACCTATGGTGGCTGTGTGACCCAACTCTATGTTTTCATTTGGCTAGGGGCTACTGAGGGCACCCTGCTCATGGTGATGGCATTTGACCGCTATGTGGCCGTTTGCCGCCCCCTACACTATACCACCATCATGAACCCTCGGCTCTGCTGGCTGCTGGCTGTCCTTGCCTGGTTGGGTGGCTTAGGCAACTCTGTGATCCAGTCAACATTCACTCTGCAGCTCCCATTGTGTGGGCACCGGAGGGTGGACAACTTTCTGTGTGAGGTGCCTGCCATGATCAAAATGGCCTGTGGAGACACCAGTCTCAATGAGGCTTTGCTCAATGGTGTCTGCAGCTTCTTCACTGTTGTGCCCCTAAGTGTGATCCTGGTCTCCTACTGCTACATTGCTCAAGCAGTGTTGAAGATTCGCTCAGAGGAGGCATGGCGAAAGGCCTTTAACACATGTTTCTCCCATCTGGTGGTCGTGTTCCTCTTCTATGGCTCTGCTATCTATGGGTATTTGCTTCCAGCTAAGGCTGGTAACCAGGACCAGGGCAAATTCATTACCCTTTTCTACTCCGTGGTCACACCTATGGTGAATCCTCTCATCTACACTCTAAGGAACAAGGAGGTGAAGGGGGCGCTGAGAAGGCTGCTGGGGAAAGTAAGGAAAGTGGGCTGAAAGATGAGCAAATGCCTCTGTCCATTACTGCAAATGCCTCTGTCCATTACTGCAGATGCCTCCGTCCATTACTGCCACTTCACCTCTACAGACTTTTTCTCATTATCTCTCTGGGCAGGTGAACGAGTACTAGGCCTGGTAAAACCATCCCAGCGAAACCAAGGCTGGTTCCTAACAACCAGGACATTGTTAGTGTTATTTGTGATGTTCTAAACTTCATTACCAAAATACCTCCTGTGGACTCTAGATAACACAACACACAAGTCTTCAGAGATTACTGACTTACTACAGACCTATCTCACTGTCTCTGTCTCTATGGCCTACATGTTGTTCTTGACACCTTGTATTTTTGGAAAATTCTTTACTCTTTTATATGTTACCATAAACCCATGAAAACAAGCCAGGTATTATTAACCACATATGAAGACCCACATAGTTCACCGTTGTACCCAAAGACCTATCTATGCACCGTCTTTGTCCATCTCTGTCTCCTCTTCTCAATGATTCAGTCTATCTACCTATACTTTCCATCCATATAGCTTTCCATCATTTGGTTTTCTCTCCCCCTTGTCTGCTCTCATTCCCCTTCTGTCTCATCTAATGTTTAATGAGAAAGTCAGGAAAAGGCCTTTGCCTTTCAATTCCAGCCAGAACAGACCCTGGCTACAGTTTCATGTCAATCATCCCATATAAAAGTCCCAGCCATTAGATTTGACCCAGCATTTGGGTCATGTTAGTAAATTACAGACCTCCCTGAGATCCTTTAAGCAAGTTGAATCCATCTACAGAGGATGTCCTCTGCTCTAAGATCTAGTCTTCCAGTCCCACAGTTCCCGGAACTTACTCATCAGTCCAGTCCACACTAGTTCACCTACAGGAATTCACTGCTTGGAATCAGAATGCCAACTTGTGAATTACTAGGATTGCCCAAAAAATCCTTACTTGACACCCTTTTTCCTATACTATTTCCTAAGACAGAGAACTTATGTTGAAATGAAAAAGTTATTTCACAACTATACCATGAGAGAAAAGAATATTAATAGATTTTAAGACTATCCATATGTATGGGTATCTCTAGGGTTTCTATCAGAGTCAACTCGATGGCAGTGGTATTTTTTTTTTTTTTTATGGTTATCAAAAGGGTCTTCATCTTTGTGTCCCCACAGCAGTTAAACAAACACTTTGAAAACAGTAAATGTTCAATAAATGCTTAGTTACTTGAATTAAGCCTCATGAGTCTCCCTGTTCATGGCAGGAGGTGTATTTGATGACTTTCATGTTTCCTGTTTGGACTCAGTCTGTCCTTTGAAAGACACTGAAAAAACAGTGGTAAGTGTCTTTCATTCTCACATTTCCACAAAGACATCTAAATATACTGTCCTGTCCCAAACTTGTTTTTATAGTTGCCCTCTCCTATTTTCTAGGAGCTCTGGTGGCATAGGGCCTAAGGCATTTGACTGCTAACCGGAAGGCTGGTGGGTCAAAGCCACCAGCCACTCCTCAGAAGGAAGACTGGGCAATCTACTTCTGTAGTGATACCTCCTTGGAAACCCAAGGAGGAATTGCTATGAGTCAGATCTGACTTGAGAGGAGTGAGTTTTATTTTTGGTTCTGTCCTATCTTCTCAGTTCCTTACACAGCAATATTGAGGTATGTCTCCAGGACCAGCCAGTTGTTGACATTATCTTTGTGAATTCGTCAAGGTCCAGAGTCTTGCAGGCTCAAACATTTTATTTCTCAGTACAGTCAGATTAGACCATTTTCTCCAGAGGAATACTCACTATAATCAAGCTCCCAAAGGTAGACACATAAACCAGGGACCAGCTGAGTAATTCATGTGAACTGCTATCAAAGAGACTGAACAGATAACGCTATAGCCAATTCATCTAAGATGAGATATAGGTTGGGGAAACCAGGAACAAAATACACAGGCATTCTTTTAACATTTTGGAGTTCAGCAGAGGTTGCCTGCAAAGAGTATGAAACATTTTAAATCTACTGGATTTTTACACAAAGAATGCATGCATTACAGTTTTTTCCTAACCGCGCAACCTCCTCATACACCAGTTCTCTATACACAATGTGCATGTTATATGCATGCACACATTACTTACATAGACACGAAATATGTGGGAAACTACAGGAAGTTTGAGCTAAGGGACTGGTGAGAAACAGGAAGTTACAGAGAGGAGAAACAGCTAACTGGCCATCATTGGGAAGTGGGTGCACCACGGTGATCACATCATCAACACACACCCGTGCTCATGTTCCATTCTCAACGTTGGTCATGAGACAAAGCCAAACATGGGAGGTGGGTATTAAATATGAGACAAGCTCCTTGTTATAACGGGTCTGAAGTTCTACTTTCAGGTGTGCAGAGGAACACGTATGTTTGGTATCTTATTCACTTAAAAATTCAGAAAATGAAAAACAACACAAAGTACCCAGATCTACCTAAGTTTCTTAGCTAACACTACCCAAGCCAGGAATTTACCTTAGCTCGCTTCCTTGACCATCCTCAAGTAGAGATGATTCTCTCTGTGGACATTTTACTATGCAAATGACTGTGGGAAATGAAGGCTCCTCACCATTGGTCAGCTGACCCTCCACACACCAGTTTCTATCTTCCTCAGCAACCTCTGGTTTCTCAATTCCATCCCAGCTGTGCTACAACCTCTGTGGCTCCAACGAAACCACCGGCTTCACCAGCTGTGAGATCCAGGTCTATCAGGACTTGGCTTTCTGCTCCACTCATGCATTCTCCTAGCAGTGATAGTCAAGGGCCACTATATTCTCATCTGCCAGCTCACCCATTATGCAGTGGTCAAGAAGTGCTGTTGATGGCAGTTGGAATCTCTGGCCTAGAAGATGTTTTACAATTCCTTAGTAGAAATGTAGTAAAGGTAAAAAAAGCAACTCACAGAGTAAGGTCCAGAAAAACACACAAATTGTTAACATTTATTTCCTCTGGGAAGAGTGTGTAGTTTGGGGAGTTAGGGATACTGGGAAACTTTTTTTAACAGAGAAAACGTTTTTCCTGTACTTGTATAATATTAAAAGCAATTTAGAGGAAAAAACCATTGTGTTACGAGTGATTTCTAGTCCTACTTCTGTCATTAGAAAGTCACATAAACTCTGTACTTGGTTTCATCATCTGGAAAATGAACATAATAATCGTATTGAGTTCCTTTTCCAAGGTGTGTCTAACCCGAAACATGGTCTTTCAATCACCTCATACGCATGTGAAACTTGGACACTGAAAAAGGAAGGCAAAAAAGGAACTGATGCAAAAAAGGAATATGATGTTGGCAAAAAGTATTGACTACACTGTGGATTGCCAGAACAGACCTTAGAATACCACCAGCATGTTTTTTTAGAAGTGAGACTTGGACTAGCTTACTCTGGACACATCATCAGGAAAGACTAAATGCTAGGAAAGGATATCATGTTGGGTAAAGATCCAATGAAAATGAGGGGAACCCACAGAGGGATGGATTGACACAAAGCCACAGCAATGGACTCCAATAAACCAATGATCATGAAGACAGGGCAGGACACAGGCCATAATTCGCTCTACTGTATGTAAGGTTGTCATGAGTTCAAATCAACTCCACTGCACCTAACAACAAGAAGGATCTCTGGTCATGTAGTGCCTAAGGCATCTGACTGCTAACCAGAAGGCTGGTGGTTCAAACCCACCAGTCATTCCTTGGAAGAAAGGTTGGGCAATCTATTTCCATAGTGATACCACCATAGAAACCCAAGGAGGGGTTCTATGAGTCAGGTTCGACTTGACAGCAATGATTTGAGTCTCCAGAAAAGGACATCATGCTAGGTAGAGAGACAGTGAAAAAGAGGAAGACCATCAAGCAGATCGGTTGACACAGTGGTTGCAACAATGGGCTCAAATACAGCACAGATTATGGGGATGGTGCAGGAATAGGCAACATCTCATTCTGTTATACACAGGATCGCTAATGACTTAACAGCACCCAACATTCCTTCTGTGTACTTCCTATTACCCTGAAGTAGATTCCACACTTGGGTCCTCTTCAGGACCTTCCAGGATTCTGCATGGGCATGAAGTGGCACAACAATTAAGTGCTTAGTTAAGCAAAGAGTTGGCTGTATAAAACTACCCAGAGACTCTATGGGAAAAAGGCCTGTCGTTATGCTCCTGTAGAGATTAACAGCCTGGAAACACCACAGGGCAGTTCTACTCTGTCACATGAACCGGCTATGCATCTGAATTAACTCAATGGCACTAAAACAATAACAATAGAGAATATTACAACCAAAGGCCAAGGAAATGGAAGCAAAAACACCTTTACTTTCATTAGAAATAATAATGCTTATGCACTTTATCCAATGGCTTAACCCATCCATCCTCTCCTATGTCCTCTTTTTGGTGGTGGCTGTGTTACAGAGAATAGTAACTTTCTGCTCTCAAAGTGATAATAGTGCCTACCAGTTGGTGCACAGAGGTCAGTTACTAGTTTAGAAAAGACACAGGCTATTAACTTCCAGCTGTGCTTTCCATGAGATTTTCCTTCTCAGCCCTGGGTGAGATTCACTTGTGCCATGCTGTAACGTGGAACAGAAACACTTCTCAGACCATTGGCCACCCGTTCCTAGCTTTGGGAAGAGGGACACCCTGGTTTCCTTGCAGAACTTATCAATCCTGTAACCTCTCCTTCAAAGCAAAATTTAAGGTTCCAGTGAAACAGGGCTCAAGCCATGGGCAGAGCTAAGAAGGAATTCACTATTCTCATTCTAATTTCTATTCCTATACATGGTTCTTAAGCTCCAGTTGTCAGATGGCTACTAGTTCTTTCTATGAGCAGATGGAAGATCTACAAAATTAACATATTGCTCTAAAGAAATGACCTTTCTGGTTTCCTACACACTTCTAACTTTTCTCTTCCTTCCTAATATCCAAATGTCTCTTTTATGTGAACTTCCTGATAACGGGTGAGGGCAGAATTCTTTGTGGAGCTTTT